GATCAGCTTTGGCGGACGGTGCATCGGTGGGGAAGTGATAAGCTAGCTACACAACCACCCAAATGACGTCAGAAAGCCACTTCAGCAATAAAGTGGGCAGCCTAATGGCGCCAGCTTTTTGTTTAACAAACACTACAAAAATTAAACGTATACTTTACAAATATAAGTGATTTTCTCTGCAAGAAAGCACTTATTGAGAATCATTTTCTTGTTTTATATTTCGGTGCATGCCACGTCAGCCTCCACCCGGTTCCATACATGTGTTCTCTGTTTTAGAACTAATAACACACATAAATACGTATCATTTCAACAATATAGCAATAAGAAGGATATTATTGTTTTGAAAATTTAATCTTAATTCTCTCTCTAAGTAATAAAATTAGAACAATTTAATTTTATCTAATTAATTCAAATTTGAGAATAAAAATTAAATAACAAAATTGAATTTAAATTAAGACAATGAAAATGCAATGCACAGCATAAAAGATGAAAATTAACGAGAAAAATCTTAGGATTCCAACTTACCTTAGCATTCAATTAGATTTCAATGTAACCTCTTCTGATTCCATTAAAATTGAATTATTAACTTAGAGAGTTAAATTATTTATATTTTTTCAAAATAATGTAAATGCAACTAATTAAAATCAATTAACTATATGTTAATGAAAATAATTCTAATTGGATTAATTAAGAATAGACCACAATCTTCTTGACAAGTTAGGGTAAATAGATATATTTTTATTTTATACATGAATTAATTTATTCATCTAAACAAATAAATTAAACTAAGTTATTCAACGGAGGGATAAATTGATCCAATTCTTAAATCAATTTAATTATTGACCAAGTAATTAAAAATATAAGAAATAGAATTGAATAAAGACTCAAAAATAAAATTACCAAGATAGAATTAAACTCAAAACATCAATTAACATGTTAAGTTTGGTTTGTAATCTTAAAAAATAAGGTTTCCATGTTCATAGAAAACAAAAACCAAAATCTAATCAAAGGAAATATAATAAATTCTCAAAATAAAATAAATAAAATAATGAAACCCAAGAATCCAGCCGCGTTTCGTTCGCTTTTCTTCAATTTGCTTCAAGTCAAAAAATCCATGCCAAAGAGTTGAATTTTCTTGCCGAAGAATTCTAGCCGTATGGGTGTCATCCCCCTCAAGACTCTCTCTCTTACCTTTATACTCCTCTATAAGAAAAAGTCAAAGATGGCCTCTCTCATTAATGAAATAAAATCCAGCAGTATTATTTCGTTCGCTTTTCTGCAATTTGCGTCAGGCCAAACAAAAATCCAAGCCAAAGAGTTGAATTTTCCACCCTAAGAATTGTAGCCTTATCTAGGGAATTTCTTCCCAGGTTTCCCGTGCGTGTCATCCTCCTCTAGACTCTCTCTCTCTTACTTTTATACCCCCCCAAAGAAAAATCAAAGATCGCCTCTCTTATTAAATAAGTTCAAATCCTCTTTCCTTTAGTTGTTTTGGAAATCTGTTGAATAAAACAAATAGTTTTTTACTCCAAAATTAACACTTTCTATTTTGACCAAACTCTTGTCAACATTCCTTTTTTCCTCTTAAATTTTTTTAAAATTTCCAAAACTTTACCCTCTATGTCAAATTTACTTTTCCTCAATAATTCTGCAAAAAATAATACAAAGTGAATCAATATATATCAATTATCAAGGGAGAAGATTTGTTGATCAATACCAGATCTATCCAATTAAACCAATAACTTTTCAATTTAAATGATAAAATGTAATAAAAATTATATGAAAATTACAAATAATTAGAACGCAAGCACATTAATGGAGATCCATACAATATATTTCAAAAATAATAAATTATGGCCTAAATTTTTGATTAACAACCAACAAATACATTTTCAACACACATAACACAACAAGTGATCGGGGTGGTATGGTTTTTTAAATGTACTTATTTGAATTCAACCATATTGTACTGTATTTAAATTTTAGTTTTTTAAAAAAATTATAAATTTCTATATTAAATAATATCATAGTAAATATTTTGATATTGCTTAGATTTTATAAATCACAAATAGAATGAAAACCGTGTCATACTTATATATATATATATATATATGTAATTTATAAAATTATTTATAATATATATAAAATGTTTAAGTTCTTAAATAATTAAATTAAAAATTTTAATTAAATAATTAATATTAAAGATAAGTTGATTAAACCCCTGAAGTGATGGTAAGTTTTTAATTAAATTAACTGAATATTTTATGTTAAATTTAATTAAACAAAGTTCACTTCTTTATTTGTTAGTAAGGTTGTAAACATGTCAAATTTAGATTAAATCAGTCACATCCAAATTTGAATTTAATTAACTATTTTTATATTCGAATTCAATTAGAAATCCTGTATGATTTATGTATGTTAAACGATAACTAAATTTAATGAATAATCCGAAATTAAATAAAAAGATCTGATCTAATAGAAAATAATACTCTTTTATATTTAAGTCACTCAACTCTATTTCATTAATCATATTGGTCTTTAAATTTTTTAATTTTCTCAAATTTAATCTTTATAAATTTAAATTTTTTAATATTATATATAACATTATTAATTTAATAAAAAATATTGTTAAAATTCGGATTTAAATTTTTAATTGATTGGATTACTTAATTTTATATCAGATTTATTTATTTCAAATCACTGGATATTTGTAATTGGGTCTAATCTATCATATATTTTAATTGGATTCGAATCCTGAAATTCAAATCGAATTTAGATTATATCCAAATTAAAACCTAACCCATTGACAACCATATCTGTTAGATAATGTTTACATGTAATATGATTTATCTACTAGATTTATTTTTTTTTAATCTTAATGGAACTTGAAATTTTTTTCACAAGAATCGAAAGTCAGGTGTAAAAATAAAAATAAATATTAACTTGACATTTTTTTACTTTTTATTTAAATACCACTTGAAATATGGGAACATGTGATTGTTTTACAATTACAGAAAATGTAATGGGTCTCAATGCAACTGTTTGTGCGATATTAGGGTTATGGTAACATCAATCATGTAATTTAATGCAACTCTAAATCCTTTTCTTTGATATTTCTTTTCTATTTTATGGGTATAGGACAGGGAAATTATTTATTAACACAATATTAAAGTTGTATTTGTATTCATAAACAGCTCATAACTTTGTGAACATATTTTATCATTGAAAATAAATGCCTAGATGTATAAAGTTGTTGACATTATATAATTTTAAAATAATTAATTTGAGTTATTTGCTGTTATTACAGACTCAAAAGACCTCTTTTGTGTATTTTTACAAAAATTCTATCAAGTTACATAAATGTTTTAATGTGATTCAAATAAAATTGTACTAAACCATATTAAAATTAAAGAATGTTGTCCATATTAAAACTAAAGTTTTAATTTAATATCAAAAAAGTGAAAGAATATATGATATAATTTTATTTAAAAAAAGGGAAAATACCGAACCATGTTCACGTAGTATATTTAATATTCTCCTAACACACGTGGTTAGTCTTCAGTTATATATTTTTTATGTTTCTGTGGAAAATAAATAATAATATTAATTATTAATGAGGAAGTAATTAAATCTAATTCACTTTCGTTTAAAGAAAAATATCTAATTCTTTATAGTTTTGAGATAATGCCAAGTCTCCTTTCCTTTTCTGTTTTTTCAAATTGAGAAAATTCGCCGTTCCTTTGCATATATGAAAAATTACTATTTTTGTGTTTATGTAATTATTTTGGTTTAAATTTATGTGGGTATTTAAATTATTAATAATTTTTAACAAAATTATTAATAATTTAGTTATTGATATCTCTATTTTTAATGAAACTCCATTTTGAGTAATTGAATTCAAATGCGTTCACTTGAAGTAAATTAAAACTAGCCTTCCTATTTAACAGTTATTAACAAAAAAACATGCCAAAGAATGGTAATCTCCTGTTGATATGATGGCGTGAAAACTTCCCAGATCTATCAACAACAACTTAAAAAAATTTACCTTCCAAATTTTCTTTTTGTTCCTTATAAGTTCAAAAAAAATCCTAAAAAACGTGCCAAATATCTCTCGTCTTCCTTTTAAAGTCCTGTAATGCCAGCAGTGAACTAGAAAAGTCAATTTCAATGCCTCTCTTCTCTGGGGAAGTTCCCAGTACCAAAGTGGGGAACACCATCAACAACCAAACAAAAATTTTCCGTCAGTGCCATGTGGGTCGAGCTTGTTAGTAGGTGAGAGCGACGAGAACCCTAGTCTCCTTCAGTCTTATTGTTCCGCAGACGCTCGTAGCTCGCAGAGCAGAAGAACCCACCAAACATGGCCCAGTCTCTCTGCTTTTCTACAGGATCAAACCTCTGGACCAAAGGTAACTTCCCATGTTTGATTCCTTCCGACAGGGAGGCGGTTTTGTCCAATTTTATTTTCTTGGAGAATGATCGGTGGTGGGGTTTTTCCTTCTGGGTACATGTTCCAATACTGATACGTTCGTAATCATGTTGTTTCTAGCAATAAGAATTTGTGACATTTAGTCTCAACTTAATGAACTTTTGAAGTCAGTAATTTATAGTATACTAACTGGAGAATCAACGCATGAATATGATTTGCTGCCATGTTTGCTGTGATGTAGTCTGGAGAATGTTTCTTTTTGCCGTTTGCGAATCCTGAACTGCATAAAGTGATAGACAATAGCTCAATCTACTCTGCCTTTTGTATATTTAGTTTTTTTTTTTTTTTTTTTGTGGTCATGAAGTCTGCTGAAAGTTTTAGTTTGCAGTTAAAGGCAGAATCCGTCATTTGGGGTTTTAAATCCTTATCTTTGCCGGTTTATGAGTTATGAGCTATGAAATAAATCACTTGTATTTAAAGAAGGCTTAAATAACTTTTGTTTTCAGCGATGATGGTGAAGTAGTCATGTACTCGAAGATGTTAAAATAGTATTGATGATCCATTAAGTTAAGCAATGAGGTATAAGAGTGGAATTTATGCTTCAGAAAGCCGCAGGAATCGGGCCTTGTAATCTAAAAAACTTTATGCCTAACGTTTATGTAAACTCGTGGTTCGTTGGAATAGTGCTTTTGAAGCATGGCCTTCTTGCAAAAACCTCAGCAAATTAAACATTTTCTACTTTAATATCGTATAATCTTTCCTGAAAAACTGCTTTCCACTTATTCTCCATTACTTTCTGGCCATCCATGGCTACACTTGTAAGCCAGGTATACATTCTGTCTCTCCAAGCTCATGAGCGGTACTAATACCAAATTTTCTTGTTGTTTATACTAGTATTGCTCTATTATGTGTATGCTCTAATCCGCTTTCACATCTCAGGTGAGCACCGTTGGTTTAGGTCTTCTGGATTTAAGACAAAACCGGTCCATCTGAAGGTATCATCTGGTTATAGAGCAACAGCACAAGCAGCTAATGTTACTGGTCCTCATTGTGACATACCTCGTCAATGGTACAATCTAATAGCTGATCTTCCTGTTAAACCTCCTCCACCTTTACATCCAAAGACACATGAGCCAGTCAAGCCTGAGGACTTGTCTCCTTTGTTTCCTGATGAGTTGATTAAACAAGAGGCAAGCACTGACCGGTTCATTGATATCCCAGAAGAGGTTCTTGACATTTATCAGCTTTGGCGCCCTACCCCCTTGATAAGGTTTGTTCTGTTTCTTCATGGTGCTTTTTAATCCAGTACTAGGATCAACAAGTCTAATATTTTTCAGTCAAATCCAGGGCTAAGAGGCTGGAGAAGTTGCTCAAAACACCAGCTAGAATCTATTACAAATATGAAGGTGTGAGCCCAGCCGATCACACAAGCCAAACACTGCAGTACCACAGGTCTGGTACAATGCACAAGCAGGCGTCCAGAATCTTGTGACAGAAACTGGAGCTGGCCAATGGGGCAGTTCACTTGCTTTTGCGTGCAGCCTATTTGGGCTCAACTGCGAGGTAAGAAGTGTATAACAATGACCCTACTTGGTAGCTTGCTTGCATGCATTTGGCTTTTAAGCCCCGAGAGCCCAGAATCTAAGATTCGTAAGCTTCTAGTTCTCTAAGTCAAAAAGCCAAAAGCATAAAAGCTGCAATATCCTTACTTTTGGGCTTTTGGAGAAGGGCTAGAAGCCAAGATATTTTAGCTTTTGTAAGTCTAGTCTAGAATAAGTTGAGAAGTAATAATATCATGGCCCCTGAGCTTTATGGGAAGGCCTAGAAGTCTAAAATCCAAGATATTATAGCTTTTGGGCTTCTAACTGAGATAGCCATAAGCTGATAAGCTGCAACATCTTGGCTTCTAGACATTTTGGATAGGCCTAGAAGCCCAGAAGTTGCATTATCCTATTTGGAATTTTTAGGCTTAAAAATCAAGAGCATAAATCCATAAAAATCAATTACCCAATTTATGTTAGATAGGTTGACCTGCCATATTATTGACAGTCTCAACTCTACTTTTGGATTTTTGTATAGGTATGGCAAGTCCGTGCATCGTTCGACCAAAAGCCCTACCGCAAACTGATGATGCAGACTTGGGGTGCCAAAGTACATCCCTCACCCTCAACCATTACTGAGGCTGGCCGCAGGATCCTTCAAATGGATCCAGAAAGCCCAGGAGTTTAGGAATAGCAATCTCAGAAGCTGTGGAAGTTGCAGCTATGAATCCAGATACCAAGTACTGTCTGGGAAGTGTTCTAAACCATGTTTTGCTGCACCAGACAGTTATAGGGGAGGAATGTATAAAGCAGATGGAGGCTATAGGTGAGACTCCGGATGTGATCATTGGATGTACTGGTGGTGGATCAAACTTTGCGGGGCTTTCTTTTCCCTTTATTCGAGAGAAGCTGAAGGGAAAAATTAATCCTCTTATAAGAGCAGTTGAACCTGCAGCTTGCCCATCTCTGACGAAGGGTGTCTATACCTATGATTATGGTGATACGGCAGGACTGACTCCCCTAATGAAGATGCACACTCTTGGGCACGATTTTGTACCAGACCCTATTCATGCTGGTATGTTTTGTTTTTATTTTGGTGATTTTTCTAAAACAGACTGTTTGTTCTTGATTGAAACACATCTTGTGTCTTACAGGGGGTTTGCGCTATCATGGCATGGCACCACTGATTTCTCATGTGTATGATTTGGGCTTCATGGAAGCCCTTGCAATACCTCAGACTGAATGCTTTCAAGGTATATATTCTCTCTGTGTTTGCGTGCCTGCACATGAAATGGGTAGTCATATTAACCCATAGCAAATTGTTGCCATACCTGACCACTGACCCTATTCCTCCTGCTAATTTTTAGGATCAGGGTCCTGTATCCAGAATAACCAGCAACTTTTAGGATCAGCTTGGGTTAATTTGAATAATAAAATAAACTGCCATATCATGTTCTCTGTTTCTCCTGTTGAAGTGGAAAGATTTTGTTTCCTATGTCATGATATGGCAAAATATTAAATCTTAAATCTTAAAATGTTGTATCATCATTTTTCAAAATCTTAAAATTTTGGATGCCATGGCCAAATATTAAGTTGCCATGCCATCTTAAATGTGGTGATGTAATTGAACCTGATATGGGAAGAGTAGGGCTAAGATTGAGGTATCTGTGACCCAAAATGACCCAACTTGAACCCGCCCCACTGGGCCCATTTGCCACCTCTATCCGAAAGCAATGGTAGCTGAGCAATAACTTGCATTCTGGAATCGGAATCATCCTATTGTTTTGGATTTGGTCACCTGTGCTTTATGGATGCTGTAAATTGTAATAGTGAAGAAGGCAGGTATAAACTTGAGCTTGAATTTTTTGCAGGGGCAATACAATTTGCAAGATCAGAAGGTCTGATACCCGCGCCAGAACCAACTCATGCCATAGCCGCTGCCATCAGGGAAGCTATCCACTGCAGAGAGACTGGAGAATCAAAGGTTATTCTGATGGCAATGTGTGGACATGGCCATTTCGACCTAGCATCTTATGAGAAATACCTTCAAGGAAGCATGGTAGATTTGTCTTTTGAGGAGGAGAAGATACAGGCTGCACTGGCCAACATTCCTCAGCTCGCAATCTGATCTGGACGCGGTTAAAATGCATCTCTCTTACATTTCTTTTTTCTTTTTTCTTTTTTCTTTTTTATTTTTTATGTTACCCTTTAGTGATTCAATAAAGTGTGCCCTTTGATGCACTCGGGTCCATTATGTTAGGTTGAAGGTAGAGTCTTCCTAATGTAGTGTATGGGTTTCTCTGGATGAGCTGCAAATTTTCTTACCGTCAACAAGGGAACTTACTTTTGTGCGAATCTCTCTCTCTCTCCCTCTCTCTTTCTCCATAGTTGCAGATATTCGCGTCTTTGAATGCTGGCGCTCAGAAACTAGTGAAACTTGACATCATTGTGATTCAAATTTCATGAAAATCTGAATGAAATCATTTTCTGCACTATCTAATTCCGTTTCTGTAGCAAGGCAGCATTCATGAGCTAGAAGATGAGACTCATTTATAAACGCTTCCTGGAAAAAAAATAAAAGAGATATAGACGGTGGCTTCTGATTTAAACAAACTTCACCCCTTGTTTCTATCATTAATTTCAAGCCTAGGAATTTTTTTAATTTTTTATTTTCTTCTAGGACTACAAACTGAAAATTAAACTCAAATCCCAGCACTTCATGTGCCCCCGGTTCGCTTTTAAAGTCAATAATTGACCCCACTTTTGGTATTATTGACAATACGATTACTTCAATGAATTAAATATTTAAAAAATTACACAAAAACGTCTGCTTATTGCCGGTGTCCTTGCCGAAAATGGAAGGTTTGTAAGGAAGGGGTTCTGTCGGAGACTGGCAAGTTCAGGCCGTGCCGAGGAAGGGAGCCAATGAAGGAGCGGGAAGCCCATTGACGAGTGACTGCTAACTGGTAGCAAATTTAGCGAAGAGGGAAGGGTGTCAGGAATGTCTTTTCCGTTATCGTAAAGTTGGTATAGTATCATTCATCCTCAATAGAAACTGCAAAATAAATCTTAATGTTAAATTGCTGAAATTCCTCTCAGAAATGCAATGATCTGAATAAGTTAGTGTAATGCAAATGGCAGTAAATGAATAATCAAACACGATTAACATCAAAAACTCAAAAGCAGGAAAAATTCCAATTAAATGCTTCCCTACCAGTACAGAGAGTAGATGCAGCTATTCAACAATTCCGGCCCACTTCGGAGAACCCAGTACTGAAACCTAACAGTAATGAATAGTCAAAGCAATTAAGCTAGAAGAGACAATTGGACAAACCAACCAGTTCAGTCAAGGAAAACCAAAAAGGAGAGCTGCAAGTTGAAAACAAGGGAGACCAATTAGACCAAGCTCAGAATAAAGAACCATTTTCTGTTTTCGATCTCTGTTCTCTCTCTGCTCTGTTCAGAGTTTTCCAATTTCATTAATTCGATTCTGAAAACTGAAACAGAATGACGATTAGGCAACCAGAACGACGGCGAGAGTGGCGTCAAAGTGAGCTCACAATCCAAAACACAGCTTATGCGGTTTCACTTTCTCTACAAATTTGGTAGTGAGGTCCGCAGCAAGGTCGACGGCGGTGGCGGCGACCTGCGGTGAGTAAGGCGGCAAACGGGAATGAGGAAGATGTCCTTCCTTCACGCGGGTGCTCTATCTCTCCTTCTTCAAGTTCTGCGAGGACTCAGAGCTATACATACACAGACAGAAGATAGGTACTCAGGGCACAAGAGTAGATTAAGTAACCAACATGCTTTGACTAAAATTGCATAGAAGGCTCCTGAACTTTCTATAATTAATTCAAGCAGGCTCCTATACACTTTTCCATCTTTGGAGTTCAAGTCCCTGTGCATTCAAAGCATAGAAGTACTGCCAGCGATAGAAAAGTTTCTTTGCAATTAAGTCCTCCGGCATTTCAATTGGACCCCTATTGAGTTGCAGCTACCAGCCTACCAGCTGGGGGGAGGTAAACACCCAACCGTAATTGGAAGTACATGGACCACTTGAAAGAAAAACAAAGTCTAGGGATTATCAATGTAATTTTCCCTCAATTAGTTAGTTCTCATAGGGTGTCACATCATCCTCAATACTCTTATCGTTCGGACTGAATTGGGCATGCCCAGATTCCTCTATTGGTTGCTTGGTAGGTCAGATAAGGGTGGGTAAAGATAATTTATTCACTCTTATCTTATTCGAATTTATGTTTAGTAAATTGGATAAAGTAGGATCAGATAAAGTTTGGGCAGGAGAGAGATTGAATAATAGCATGACCAAATTCGGATAAACTATATTGGAAATAGGGGTAGGATAATTTTATCCGACCCTATCCGACCCCTACCCAACTTATTTGGACAATACTACCCTTACTACCACAATTTTTACCACCTTTGTCAAACAAAAAATATTATCCAGATCACTATGCGGTCAAGATAATTTATCCAACTATCTGTTCTATTCTGCCTTATCCGATCCTACTTACCAAACAGCCCTAAAAAAATTTTAAATTTTCTGACATTACCTTTAATCGTAAAATTAGAATCCGAAGGATAGAGCAAAATATCTCGAATTACCACCCCAACTAGAATAAATTCTTTCATGCTCATAACCTCATTTTACCTCATTTATTTCAAGAAATTTATTTTTTTAAAATTATTATTCCAAGTTTTCAAATTAAGATATATCTAAAAGAAATCTTAATAATGTACAAAAAACCTAAACCCAATATCCCAAAAGCAACAATACTTTTTTTAATTTTAATATTAAATGAAAATGTTAGTTAAAATAAAAACATTAATAGAAAGTGAAAAAGGATTATCCCATCGAATGAATTTTTTTTTTCAATTAAAGAATTAAAATAAAAAAGATCAAATTGAGTATGATTGTACTAGTGATAGCATCTACTATATCAGAAATACCAATAAACCCTATAATTGCAATTTTCAAGATTTTTTTAATGTTCTAGGCTCTATTTCCCCTGTTAATTAACATAATCCAAAATTCAATAAATAAATGGACGAATAAGAAATTAATATAACTTGATTTTATTTTAATATTATTTTTAAAAATAGTGTTAACTACAGAAAATCAATTGTCATTATCCTCAACTGGCAACAAAACTTCCCGTTTCCCCCAAATTCTCTTTCACCAAACATGTCCCATCTTTAAATTAATGGCCCTGACAAACCCCCCCCCCCCCCCCCTTCCACCCCAAAAAAAAAAAAAAAAAACGAATTGGTTTAATTTTTTATAAGTTATGGTTTAATTTAATTTAATTAAGTTAAAATCAAATTTTGCTCATAATTTAGTTTATATTTTGACCATCAAACTAAATTGTATAAATCGAACTGAATTGTAAATTATATTTAAATTTAGAGTTAAATTATTCAACTTTATTTTATTTTTGTTCTAATTCCTCTGCTTTCTTTTTATTATTATTATTTCAATCTCCAATCTCCGTTTTTTCTCTTTTTTGTTAGTTCCCGAAAGGTTCTGATTCTATCAAATAACCTTGTAATTTGGGTTACTATATATCATGTTAATATTTAATTCGGCCAAAAAAAAAAAAAACACTCATCTTTCTTTAAATTTGTTTAAATGACATTTAACTCTATTTTCATCATAAAAAAAAATTTCTTTCTTTGACTAATTATTGAATAATGAGTGTTTAATAGTTTTGTTAAAAAAGATGTGAGAGTAATCTAATTTTATATTTTTGATTATCTATTTGGTTAGAAATTAAAATATTATTTGATTTATTAAAAATTATTTTTAAAATTTATTATTCTTAATTTAAAAATAAAAGTCTAACTTTTGATAATTTAATATATTATTTTTAATTTTAAACATTTTTTATTTTTATTTAAATATTGAAATAAGAATGTTTGAGTATCATTTAAGTAAAAAATGTTGAGTATCATTTAAAAAAATAATATAAATATTATTTTAAATAAAAATAATGAAATTAGATAATTAAAATTGTATTTTTATTTTTAAATTAAAAATAATTTTAAATGAATTAAAGAATATTTTAATTTTTAATTAAATAAATAACTAAAAATATATGAAATTAGATTATTCTCTTATCTTTTTTAACAGAAACGTTAAATAACTATTAGTTAATAATTAGTCAAACAAGAAAAATATTTTGTCATAATAAAAATAAGACTAAGTGTTTATATAAGTAAATTTGAAGAGAAAATAATATTTTTTTATCTTATCTAATTTATTAAATTTATTGAATTTTTATGGTATTCATTCTTTCAATTATTAAATTTAATTGATTCTATTACAAATTTATGATTATACATGAATAAAAAAATTGATAAATTTTATTTATAAATCATAATGTTAAATAAAATTAAATTATAAATTATAATTTAATTTAATTTTAAAAAATTTATAATTTAATTTAATTTTAAAAATTACATGTCAAAATGTGATTTAATTTAAAATTGAACGTGAAGAAACCCATACGCAAACATCTCCCTACATCCCCACCGCCTTCTCTTTTATCTCTCAGCGTGACGATCAGACCCTGCAAGCCTCCGCTTATTTGGTGCGATTGTCCTGCTACGTCATCGGAAAGATTCATGTACATTAATGTCATTCTGGTTGAGACGGAAAGTGCAACAGCCGGTCTTCATCGGCTTGATGAGCCTCTTCTGGTCGGACCTGTACATTCTGATCCTGGTAAGGACGATAATTGGAATTTCCTGATCGTATTCATATCTAATTTTTATTCATTTTTAATCATATTCCTTCTATAGGTCTACACAATGATTAAAGAGCGTAGCATTGGGGAGTGCAGCCAGGCGGGGCCTGAGCCACCAATAGAGTTGGCATATGGGCGTTGGCGGCGGATCTGTCAACGGTGGAGTTGGTGGGGGCGTTGAAGGCCAATAGCATGCTGCAAGCGGTGTACATGTGGGGGGTTTCTGGCGATGTTCATGTTCCATTAGTGGTGGCAGAGTTGTTATTCTTGATGTCGGCAGGGAATTATTACAAGCGTAGTCTCCTCCAATACCCGGAGAGGATGTGACAGATGACGGTGGAAGGGAGTAGATGGGAGCGGTGAA